CATTTCCTCCACCCTTTCAACATCAACCTTTAATTTTATTATACTTCTAATATTTATAATCCTCTAAATTTTTTAAATCATTTAAGCTGTGTGATAACTGTTAATTTTGTATTTCCCCTCACCATACTCTATCAGCAGAACATTAGATCCAATAATCTATAACATGCTAAAATTTCCAAACTGAATCGGCAATACTGTTTGAAACAAACTCACTCTTATTATTACTACCATTATTATTATTATCATATTTAATACCCTCAATTCGTGCTTCGAATATTTTTGACTTTATATCGTAAACGTGGACAAATTCCTCTGGTTACTTTTGCTTTAATTTTTTAATTTTATTTATATTTTAAGTGAATCAGATGCAATATTGTGACAAATGCTGAGAATTCGATTCTGTATAAGAAGTACTGTTTTTGAAATAAATTTGATTATTATTATTATGTTTATATATGCCTGTAGCTTAAAGTAAAGTTGGCCGACCAACCATACAGAAGGTCCAAGTTCAGTTAAAGGCTGATAGACTCTTAGACCTCGTGTAGTCAGTGGCAATCCCAGTAACGATGGAAAGTTGACTGTAAGGCTAGAAACCCCATCCCATAATAGGAAATAATACGACTTCTGCTTCAAGCTAAAGCATGAAGTCTTATAATAATAATAATAAAATAATTTATCCTTCACGTTCCCAGTGGAACATAGGGCTTCAAGCTAGTAGCTTGAAGTTTCTCTATCCGTGTTTAAATTTTACAGGTTGGGGTTGCTAGCCTCATGCCTAACCTTTCCTCTTTACCAGCATTATTTCTGACTCAGTGAGGTAAAGGAGTGCGCCGGCCGGAAGTCGAACCCCGGACCATATGGCATGGTCGGCGAGCGTCCAAACCGCTATAGCACCGACGCACTTGAAGTCTTATATCCCACTCATAACGCAACGTAATGAAAAAATAAGATATGTGGTGTTCTGAATCTGAAACCCTGACATGAACTAAGGTTATCAAAACAAATGTGATGAGTATTTTTCGTCATATAGGCTCACACTGTTTTCTCCATAATTCATACGCTTAAAAAATACAATAACATGTACAGGTCTTTACTGATTCATTCACTTGGTAAGGTACAATCACCTCGTCCTGAGGAACTATGATTGAGTCACCCTATGACAAGGCTAACTATTCTTTCTTTTTTTAAACTTGGTTTTGATATCAATTTTACAAGAGTATAAGTATCACTAAATAGCTTCTGTATAGTTTGGATTAGATCGGTGGCCACACAGGATAAACAGTAAGGGATTGTGTTAACCAAGAACTGAGTACCTAACAAATATACAGACATAGGCGGAGTAGATGAGTGGCACCAAGCGCCAGGCCTTTGGATAGAGAACGACGAGTTAGTTGGGTCTTACTTTTAAAACTTCAGTGTGTTGTTGATTCATTGTTGGAATAACGCCAAACTATGCATCACTTCTTGGTTAATTTCCTGAATGACTCCCTACTAAACCTCTCCGAGTTTATTATTCAACAGCAAGTTTAGGGAAAAGAGAAGGCTGGGTGTGAGATAAAACGTAACCTCAACTGGACAACACCGTCACTAATGAAAATTCAATGCTCTAAGCTCATGTTTCATACATTTGATTCAATTGATAAATTTCGATAGAGAAAGACAGACCAAACTTGTTGTAATAAATGATATCATTCTGTATTCACAAAATGCATTTGCCAGACACCGTATTGATATGGGTCATTTCATCGAGATTTCCAAATCCTTCAAAATATTAAATATACAAAAGACAGTAAATTTGCTACGATTTCAGGATTTCATCATGAGCTGACAGTAGTCAAAGAACCTGGAGTAGAAAACCTGGGAGTACTGGACAGCTGTTTCCTCCTAGTTTGGGACTATTCAGCAGTACGCACCCACCGGGATTCGAACCCGGGACCTTCCGGTTACAAGGCGAGCTCGTATAGCATTAAGCCACTGGGACCCGATCCAATGGTCTTTGAATTCTAACTTCTGCCAATTCACGACATAGCGCTACCGCTAGCTAATGTCTTCGGCGAGTATTTGTCCTCACACCCGACCAGCTGCACCCTACTGGTCACGGGAAGCCGTGACCCCAGGTTACTACCTACCCTAATAGGCTTGCAGTTGCGCTATGTCGTGAATTGGCAGAAGTTAGAATTCAAGGACCATTGGATCGGGTCCCAGTGGCTCAATGGTCTACGAGCTCGCCTTGTAACCGGAAGGTCCCGGGTTCGAATCCCGGTGGGTGCGTACTTCTGAAGAGTCCCAAACTAGGACGAAACAGCTGTCCAGTACTCCCAGGTTTTCTACTCCAGGTTCTCTGACTACTGTCAGCTCATGATGAAATCCTGGAACCAATCAAATCCCTACAAACCAACACTTGCTACGATTTGTTGGAGCGATTGCAATCAAACATCGTTTCAAATTAAATTTATGCTTACAGAAAAAGAAGGTAATCAATGCTTCAATCCCTTGGTAATTAAATTTTGATTACACTGATTGGTCATCCAGCTCACTGAGTAAATCTCAATCTTATAAACTGTGACCTTTTTGAGTTGTTATGTGATATTGTAAGGTAAAACTGTTTATTAGATTTCTTTGCTTTCTGTCGTATCAACTCCCTTCATCCATTTCTATTTTGAAAGCATATAAACTGATGTTAACTGAGACTAGAAATTGTAGTGCTAATACATTTCAGATGCTTTAGTTTCATAATATTTTCTCTACTACCATTCACATGGATAATGCGACAGACAACGGCGGACAATGAGAAAACAGGCATAAAATGGACTCACACAAAAACAACTTGGACGATCTGGACTTCGCCGATGATATATGTATATCTCGTTTCCCACAGACTGGAAGATATGCAAGTGAAAATCAACAAGTTGGCGATAGAAGAAGCATCAAAGATAGGACTTCAAGTGAACATAGATAAAACAGAGGCGATGAAGATTCCTCGCTAACACCAACAGCAACAGCAATAACAACAGACAGCAATCAGCATAAGTGGGAGAAATCTAAAAGAAGCAACCTCCTTCACTTACTTACCTGGGAAGCATCGTTTCAACTACAGGCGGGCGGAACTGACGAGGATATCAAAGCTAGAATCGGAAAAGCAAGACAAGCTTTCATTACTCTTAAGTCTGTGTGGAGGTCAACAGCACTAATCATCAAAAATAAGATCCGGATTTTCAACTCAAATGTAAAGTCAGTGCTAATATACGGATCAGAGACTTGGGGCGTCATAAGGAGCATCTCAAACAAACTACAGACCTTCATTAACAGTTGTTTCGCTCAATACTCAAGATCAGATGGCCAGAAAAGATCAGCAACAGGGATCTCTGGGAGCGAACCAACACAGCAGAAACCGACTGTGAAACAAATAGGCAGGAATAAATGGAGACGGATTGGCCATACGCTGAGGAAACCATCAAGTGACATCACTGGACAAACCATCGCTCGAGTGGAGCCCGAAATGGAAGCGGCGAGTTGGTCGTCATTGCAAGGGTGACCTGGAGGAGGTCATGTGAAGAGGAGATGAAAGCATGTAGGCAGACTTGGAGCGGGGTGACAGAGTTTGCAGAAAACAGAAGGCAATGGAGACATGCAGCTGAAGCCCTATTTTCCTCTAGGAATTAAAGGATATAATAATAATAAATACCATTCAAACATTGAGATATGTTATTGTCATTATTTATAAACATTGTAATTTCAGGTAGTTTACAGCTGATGGGAAATTGTGAAATAGAATGTTATATTATTTTATACTGAAGATTTGATCTTCCTTTCTCTATCGAAGCTTGTGTTTCATCACTGAGAAAGCTAAAAACGAAAGAAAATGACAAATCTACTCAGGAATAATTTCACTAGGGCAATCATAGTGACTGTCCTATAAACTGAAAGATATGCAAGTGAAAGGCAACAAGTTGGCGATAAAAGAAGCATCTAAAGAAGATAGGACTTCAGGTGCACATAGAGAAAACAGAAATGATGATAAAGATTTCTGGCCAACAGCTACAGTGACAGCAGCAGACGACAAACAGCATATATAGGAGAAATCTGAAAGAAGCAAATTCTCTTACCTACGTGGGAAGCATCGTCGTTTCAACTACAGGCGGACGGAACTGATGAGGATATCAAAGAGCGAGGATCGATTGGGAAAGCAAGGCGAGCTTTCATCACTCTCAAATTTGTGTGGAGATCAACGCAAAGTACTCAGTATGAAAAATAAGATCCAGATTTTCAACTCCAGTGTGAAGTAAGCGTTACTTACTACACGGATCAGAGATATGATGCCGCGTCACGGGGGGCACTTCGAACAAAATACAGACTTTCATCAATAATGGCTGTCTTCGCTCAATACTACTCAAGGTCAGATGGCTGACCAGAAAAGATCAGAGACAGGGATCTCTTGTAGCGGACCAACCAGGAACTGATTGTGCAACAAATATGCAGGGATAAATGGAAGTGGATTGACCATACTCTAAGAAAACAAACCATCAAGTGACATCACATGCCAGCACTTAGCTAGAGTGGAACCTGAATGGGAAGCGGCGAGTTAGTCGTTAGTGCGATGATGCGAAGGGGAGATGAAAGCATGTGGGCAGACATGGAGCGACGTGAAAACGTTGACCCTATGTTGCTCTTCAAACTAAAGGAAATAATAATAAGTTAATAATCACACTGACGTTGATATTCACTTCTTGGAATAAGACTGAAGAATGAACTTTGTGGAGTTCTAAAAAGGAGTCATTGTCTTTGACGTCGAAGTAATCGAGTAGTTTTGTGTCTAGTCAAGGCTGATTGAATTCTGATTTGTCGACGGATTCACCTACGAACCTGAAGATCCTGGATTTGATCATTTATACGATGAAGATTAGTCCCAAACCAAGCTGAAACAGAACCTACACTCCCCACATCAGGGTTGAATTAAAATATCCCTTGAAAATGATTAGACTTTTACAAACTTAAGACTTGAAGAAAAGTATTTAATGTATTTAATTCAAATCAGTAAAGCTTACATTTTGAAAAACACGAAAAAGACTTATGTCATTTACAGCAAATATTATAATTTTATTAACCTGAAATAATAACATAATTGCACGAGAGAAAATTAAAAAGACAAAACAATAAACTGAATTCTTATGACACTCACAAATACCGCGGTGAATTTTCTTTCAACAATAACTTGACAAATAAACAAACCGGAAAGCGTAACTAATTTAGACTGAAGTGACAATTTTTAGTCTTGCTTTCTGAATAATACTCAAACAATACTGGTGAGTTTTGAAGATTGTAAAGTGTCTAATTTTGAAAAATCATATACCGCGGTAAAGATTAATTACTAATCAGTAATGATAATAGTAATAACAATAATAATAATAATGGTGCTATAAGTATGTCAAACAATTGAGTTGACTGAAATCACATAGAAAGCAATTTCCTCTTGTTATTTTCTGTTTCTCTGTTGCATTTTGAATTAAAATAGACTAGAAAAAAAAGAAGAAATTTAAAAATCTAAACTCTTGTCGATGCTCAATGGTTTCAATGAATTATTTTTTTTGTTTTAAGTGATATTTTTGCACACGCGCGTAATTTGAATTTTGAATTGTTTCCAGTGGACTATGTTACTCATTAGTTGAAAATTAATAGTTTAAGTGAATGTAAATATTTATATTTATATCTGTATTCATGTGTCTATTATTAGTGATAGAAAGCGATACAGTTATGACAAAGCAAAACATTGAACAAATGATTTGTTTAAAACATTAGTCTATTTAACCTCAAAGTTTAAAATTTCTGATAGCTAAGATTAGGAATGAAATTAATATCAGTTAACAAACAAATAAGGGAACATACACATTCATACACACAGAAAAACCCGCTAAAGCAATTGAGTATACATTTATATCTGTATATATCTGCCTAGGTTAGACTATATCATCTGTGGAGGTACCTAACCGTCGTGAATGTGATCGATGCATATTATTTTGTTTCATTTTATTACTTGTAGACAATTGACTCCCAAAATGGGCCGAGTGACTGCCCAGTAAATGATCATCATGGTCATCTGTTCTTAGCGGGAATTTTGAATGTTTAAAATCATATTGATGCGCTTGATTAACTGTCTCTTGCGCCTGTTGTTGCTGTTGTTCGGTGTTTTCGTCTTCATCTCCGTTGGGCTTAAGATTTTCCATCCAAAAGTAGGGGTTGACAGCTCCTGGTAATTGACTATATGTGATATACGGAGCTGGTAAACCTTTCCATTGATGTAATAACTCATGCATAGAAGAAGGCGTGGTGTCTTTTGCAGTTTGATGATGAATATTCCCAGGTAGGTTTATATGTGGTTTATTTAAACAGATATATGTGGTAGTGGTATTAGGTTCAGGGATAATTTGTTCATTACACAAATACTGATAACTTTGCCATAATTCAGCAGTCAGTTCACCCGCCAGGAGAATACCACAATTCGCTGTAATTAGTCGTATTACAAATAGACCATCCAGGCCTAGGTAGTAATTGACAAATTCTTGTATTCTTATCTCAGTTTTTAAATCTTTATTAATTGGGATTAAATTTAACACTTTTAAATGATCTGTAATAAATTTGATTCGTGCTGTTGGCCAATAGATTCGGTAAAACCAAACAATGAAACTGATCAGCGTTATAAAGGCAATCAGTACATGCCAAAACCACAAAAAGATGTAAATTTTCTCCAAGAACATATTCAATGGTAGAACACATTGAAGAGTATAGCTGAAATGGTGAATAAAATGAAGATTAGTCAGTGTATATTACTGAATATATATATATATATATATATATATATATATATATATATACATTCATATAACAATGAAATCATTTTGTAACCAATCAAATCCCTACAAACCAAAACTTAAATATCAATGAGATGCACACTAACGACTGGCCCTATTCAGGTAGGTAGTTACCTGGGGTTCTAGTGAGAATTCGTGACTAGTAGGGTGCAGCAGGTCAGGTGTTAGGACAAATAGTCGACGAAGATATTGGCTGGTTGTCGCGCTATATCACTAATTGGCAGAAGTTAGAATTCGTGGGCCATTGGATCGGGTCCCAGTGGCTTAATGGTATACGAGCTCGCCTTGTAATCAGAAGGTGTTGTGTTCGAATCCTGGTGGATGCGTCCTATGAAGAGTCGCAAACTAGGACGAAACGGTTGTCCAGTACTTTCGGCTGGTTTTCCAGTGGTTCTCTAACCAATATCAGCTCATGATGAAAATCATGTAAAAAATCATTTTCATTGGATACTAGTAACTAGTGTGATGTGTCTAGTCTATTTACCTCTCTACAGGAGGTGAATCGCGAGTCCGAATAGCTAGCTCAGTGATAACGTCTCTGACTGCAGGCGGCACTGAGTGACGCGGGTTCGAATCTCAGAAGGGACATGAGTTTCTTCAAGGCCGCAGACACGCCTTGCTAACTAGTAAGTGCCAACTAGCACGAAACCTAGGTTGGGCAAGACTTCCTGTAGCCGATGGCCTCCAACCATCTAATATCAAAATAAAAACATATCTATTTTGAACTAGTAATTAAGAGGCTTTTAGAGGCTGAGGCTTTTGAAGTTCACGGATTATACGAAGTATACTAACTCAAGATTTAATATCTACAACTTCTTTAGTATTCGTTCCGTGTAGACCAAAGGCAAAGCAAAACACCAGAATTGACCGCCCGTATTATGAGTTACATTTCGGGACTAAATCAGAGTGCGAGATGATTGCTTAAATAGCTAGGGACACGACGGCGCACCGAATGCTATGGATACTTGATTGGAAGCCTTCAGTTAAGCAAGTTGACTTAAACAGTGAGGGTCGGCATCCAATGTTCAGTGATGAATGCTGTGGTTAATAATAATTCTGGGGAATTACCCACCGCTATAGGCTTCTGGTTCGAATCCTACTGCACACAGTATTTCGTATTCTCTAAAGTTTGAAGCCAGGAACTTATGGATACAAGGTTAGCTCCTAGATCATTTAGTTACTTAGACCTTACCAAGCGGTCAGTGAATCTTATCATCTGATGCACATTAACGACTGGTTGTATAAAGGAAGTTACTTGGAGTTTTAGGAAGAATTCTTGACTAGTGGGATCCAGCAAGTCAGGTGGGAGAAGAGTTAATTGCCTATGATATTGGTTGGCGAATGAGCCATGGGTCAATGAATCAGCTCCTGATGGCTGAATGGTCTACTAGCTCGAGTTGGTGGGGTAGTGCTACTGGAGAGTCTCAAACCGGGAAGAAACAGGTGTCCATCACTCCCTAATTTTCCAGGGGTTCTCAGACTGCTGTCAGCTAGTGATTTTACTTGCAACCAGTCAAATCCCTGTAAACCAACACCTGAGAACTTGTCTAATCGTTGCCCACAAAACATTTCCAGCAGTCAGTCCCATTTACAGATTTCAAAAAAGTAACCTAGCTTATGCGAAACGCGTGTAGAGTATTTGCGCAACACATTTCGGACATTCTGATTGCACATGAGTACTTGTCATGCATATTTATACAGAAGGTGACACAGCATCAATTATTACAGTGCAGGTCAAGGTCATGAATAAGAGTTAAGAAGATGAAGTAGGGATGTGAGGTAGGAATAAAGAAGGAAGAGGGTGAGAATATTATTAAATAAATATAACCTTCGTTCTGAATTGAATTATGAAGCCAGGTTCAATGAAATGACGAATAATTTTTGAACACAAATGACAGGTTTAAGTCTTTTTATGGCCAAAACTTCAGCGAATTTAAGTATATGACCCAACTTTGTCTTATATATGGGTTTATAGGGATTATTGAAATCAACCCTATGACCTGTCTCTATGATATGCTTCGCCATAGGTGACCTACAGAGACCTAATGGTCCTCCCCGTGTATCTGTGGCAACACATACATGTAAACTTGTAGACACAGTGGGGTGTGACACAATCGTAAGGCTTTACAGGAACACGTATATATTGTTTGCTGTATAAAAATAAGTTTAGCTGCTTAATAAGTTCAATTAAGCCTTAGTCATTTGGAATGATTTCACACAACCGGTTCCCTCTAATAGTTTGAATGAAGAAAGAATGAACATATTTGCAAGATATAATACAGGTTCGTTTTATTCCGTGAATTCCCTGTCTTCAGCTGCACACATTCTAAATAAATCAACTGTAGGTTACAAAATGTTGTCTGAACATACTTTTTACAATGAAATCGAGTTAACGCTGAAAGTATAGGCAATATAATTTCAAAGATGATGTTAGTCGACAATTATTTAGTGTTAAAAGAGAGTAACTATTTATATAGTAATTAGACAAGGCGGTGGAATTCAGATTTCTCGTGGAAACAAGGATGGACTGGAGAAAAAATACAAGATAGAAAAACAGTGTTAATTTATGCATATTATGGTTGACAGTTCAGGCGGGTAGTGGTGATTAATAATTTAAGGTCACTCTGTTTGATGTGTGATTCTTGCCGACAGAGTTTTTGATCCCTCCTAATTAGGAATATTCTGCTTGATTCTTAGGACTTGTTTTGTATTTCGAAATTTACCTTCCATATTAGTTTGTTTATTAGATATATCACACAGTGAGTGAAACAGTATTATTGTTCACTGGATGATGACCAGGTTTCGAACAAAATTTATCACTGTTCATAATCATATCAACTGTAATCACACGACTTAGAAACTTGAGTTTTATAGGTGTATTTGTCCTACCCTAATTGCCGTAGGGATGGTCATATTTTCCAGATATCTGGCTGGACAGGTGTTGAATTATTCCTAATACACGTATTTGCAGTTGATTCGGTAAACAAAGCTTCCGTTATCAATTTATCCCTCCACCATGTTACATTACATCTTAAAACTGTCATCCTATCCCATCCATCCTATTGTATGGTTGTGTGTAAATGCACGTAGTGCTTTAGCTGAACAATTCATTCGAATTCTTATCTTGTTCAGGTCAACTAATCTACATTTTCCTAGGTTTTTATGCTCAGCTAGTCTGACTGAACATGTTCTACTACTTTGACCTATATATTTAACCTGACAATCTTTACAGGCAGTGTATTTGGTAAACTAAATTGTTTTGTTTAAAGGGCTTCACGGGATTGATCATTCAACCGACAAAGCTTGTTTCTAATTGAGTTTGTGGAGTGTTTGAATGCCCGCCACTTTTACTCCTGTTTTGTTAGGAATTTTGCGTAAGGTGGTTTCCGAGGTCCCTTCCTTGTATGGAATTACCACTGATGATTTAGATCCCTAATTGTTGGTGTTGGCATTATCTTGAGCATGTTTGACATGCATGTCGTCATTAATATTACTATTATTATTATTATAACTATCACTATTATCATTATTTGTTTTATGATAACAGAAGTTTTGTATACCAAATCAATTGCAAATACGTGTAATAGGAATGATTCAACACCTATCCATCCAGATATCTGGAAAATTTTACTACCCTAGCGACGACAAATAGGAGAGAACAAAGATAATTATAAAACTCAAGTTTCGAAGTTGTGTGGTTATAGTTGATGTTGTGATTATGAGCAATAAACCAATTGTGTTCGAAACCTTGTCATCCAGTAAATAATACTGTTTCACTGTGTGATACATCTAATAAACAAACTAATATGGAATTACTTACTACCACAATACCCACGTTTTACACATATGTTAAGAAATCTACCTTGTTTGCATAGCCCCCCAATGGCACTGTTGAGCACCATAGATCTGTAGACAATTAATGTTCTTTTTGCTGCTGTCTTTGTAACCATTTGTGACTGTGCGTCTCTCAAAGAAGTTTCGGATAGCTATGAGGTAGGATACGGAGATCGGCTCCTTGCTTTCAGACCACGGCGTGTCAGTTATGGTCAGCGCACATCTCATCACTGCCCATGGTGATTCGAGTGAAATGGTTTCAAAAACAAACTCCTCACAGCTCAGTTGTCAGTGCTGTGAACTAGTGACTCAAAAACTAGCTGCGGATTCATATTCCTCCTGCAGCCAATAATTTTCACCTCATCACCTTCAATCCTCATGTGTCACCAACCAATCACAGCAGACTTAACGTGTGGAAATGCAGTTCGCAGGTATATGGCTTTACTTTCTGAGAAACGGTCACAAGCAGTACATATCAATTCACAATCTACCACCAACCAAAAAGGTTATCTTTCAGTCAGTGTTACCAAGAAATATTGATTTTTCAAGTGTTCATTTAAAGTTTCCGGTTTCTTTGGGATTTCCTCAATCGCTTACATGCTATATATATATATATATATATATATATATATATATATATATATATATATATATTGTTATACTTGGTTTGTTTATAATGAGAACAATCTAATCATGCAATAAATATGTAAACCTACTTAATCTGTAACTTTTGCCTCAGATTATTCCAGACCAATAACTATTAAGTAGTTGTTTAGATTTTGTCTAATCCATGCGCTATTCTCCTTGTTGCCCTTTTTATGTGCCACCACGTCGCCTAATCGCTAACAGTCTATATCATCCTGATAGAATAATTTTTCACTGATGGATTATGTTTTTTGTTTATCCTTCATTTAGGTGTAAATGATTAGCGCGTAAGAACTATACAACAGACAGTAATACTTTTATGAGTCTAATATATTTAGATATGTATATATATTCGCTTGAAAAGAATGTGATTAGATATGATGAATTATTAATATGTGGTTATGTAATGAAGGCGGTCGTTTTTCCTTGCATCTCTCA